TTTTTATTTTTCACAAATTTGAACTTTATTTTTTGCCTTTTATTATTTCATGTCATTTTTAGACCTATTATGCACACCTGACCCAGTCTCATGACTTCAAGTTTGTGTTCAGAGCTCTGGAATCCAAAGCAAGCAGCCACTTTTCACTGTCTAGGCACTGTACCTGCCTTTTTTTACCCCAAATGTTGACACCCGCACCTGTTTCCAGGTACTCGCTTTGGAAAACAGGTACCTGCAAACGGGTACCGGGTACCTGCTTACATCTCTAAATAGTTTTGCAGTTTCTGTGATTCTTCACAACAAAACCCGCAAATTCTCTAACTCAACACCCTACCTGTGTGGGTGGTTGGTTTTGGGTGGTGCTTAAGTTTGGCTGGTGGCAATGCCACTCCTCTGGAGCAGGGAGGGAACCATGTCTAAAGTTGGGTTGCTTGCCTGAGACCACCCACCAAAACAGGTTGGAAATTCACTCTTTGGATTTTCTGGCCTGTACTTTCAATACTGTGACTCCCAGATTGAGATACCAAAAGATTAAGAAGATTGGCAACCTGTTGATTTGTATAACTTGTGACCTCATCATATATTTGTCTAGATTTTTTATGGTTAATTTTTGAACCTAGTCAAAAAAAGTCAAGACCACACTTATCTCAGGAGTCAGGCTGCACTTGGGCCTGCAAGCTCAAGTGTGTGAAGTTTTTTTTCTCCTTTTCCTCCTTGAATTTGCTCTTTTGTTTGAAGGAATGTATTCAAAACCTGAGTTGAAGGAAAGAAAGCTAAGATGCAAGTGCATATTATCGCTCCCCAGACCACATATGTAGAACTATAGTTGGTGTAGCTTGAACAAGGTTTTCCAAAGATCCTCTCAGCCAAGCACCCCAACTTCCCCAACTTTATGGATAAGTCCCTCCCGGTGCCTGTGGATGGGGTAACTTTGCCACCCAGTGCTTTACACCAGCAAGCTTCCCACCAGGGGGAGACTTTGTTAAGTTAAGTGAACAACCCACATCCTCTTTGAGATTGACCTTTCATGAGTTTTCAGCTCATGCTTAGCAGCCCGTGGTGGTGCCTGATTCAAGTTCAAGTGCCATATGGTGAATTCAATTTCTAAAAAGAGGCATATGACTATCAAACTTTAGCACTTGCGCTGGAGTTTCTTTAACATTGAATTGTCGAAAATGGCAATTGCTGGTTAATTATGGCGACAGCTCTGTAAACAATTCTTTCTGGGCCAAGTGATCGGCAGTGTCAAAACATAGGTGCGCGACTTCCGGGTGCTTACGTAATTATTCTCTCCGGACGCGTCTCGTCTGAGTTTTTGGTCCGAGAGTGTTCGACCTTGGCGCAGTGTTTTTCCTGCCTCAAACTCATATTTAGCTGTCGACGAAACCATCCATCGATGGAATACATCGATCAAGAATAATCTCGAATCACACTCATCACAAAACCAATCAATCATCCCAAGAGAAAACCTCAGAAATGCCAACCACGATGGACAGCTCAGAAGCGAGCCAACCTTTATCTCAACGTGCGTACTATGTACTCTCTGATAACTCAGCCCCGTTTCTGGAACTAACTCAACCCTCAATCAATCATGCTTCAGGTCTAAAGTTCAAAGGGACGCTGGCCAAGGACTCGAAAGTGGCCGCAAACGAACTGATCAAACGCTTAACTGGATTGCTCGATGAATTGAAGGAATTTGATCAGGAGGCCGTCGATCGGGATTCACTTTCCGCCGTTCGTGCCGAACTCATCCAACCCATCCTGATCGTCCACAAGGATAAAACCGTCAAGGCACTCGTGGCCTGTTGTATCGCCAATTTGCTCAGGCTTTACGCTCCTGATGCTCCTTACACACTTCCAGAACTCAGAGTAGGTCGATCTTCACTCTATTGTAACTCACTCCTACTCACCTGATTTGGTTCTCGTAGGATATCTTTCAATTCTTCTTTCGTCAAATTCGAAACTTACAGCCTGGTTCGAGTCAATGCCCCAATCAAGCCCATTGTGAGTCACGCGTGCCCTTTTCCCCTCCTCCCCTTCTTGAATTAATTTACACACGCGTATTGGCTCTAATTTTATTTTGATCTTCTTAATTTAGATTTACATCTACTCGAGTCGCTTGCCAATGTTCAGAGTATCGTGCTTGTTTGCGATGTCCCACAAAGTGAAGAATTAATCACAGAAATTTTCGAGGTCCTATTCAAAATGGTCAAGTTAGTGTACTTGGAGCACAGATGATCCTCAATGATTGATTGATCTGTGTTTGTTTTTCATAAAACAGTACCGAAATGTCGCAAAATTTCCTCCTATTGTTTGCCGACCTCTCCGTGCAGATCATCAATGCTGCCTCACCCATCATCCCACCGTCCGTCGTGAAGTTACTTCTTGAACAGTTCAAACCCAAGCAGGTCAAATCAAATCCCGCTGCTTATCGACTAGCAATAGATATCTGTAACGCTTGTGAAGATCGGCTGAAACAGGACGCTTATCGGTACTTCAACGATCTCCTGATCCAAGCCTCCAAGGCTGCTGGCTTTGATCACGACAACTCAGATGATTCAGAAAATGAAGAATCTGATACTGATCGGCGCACACGAAAAAGTTTTACCGAACTGGAAGCCACTCACAATTTGATCACAAGCGTCTATCAAGTTTGCCCAGGTTTGTTACAGAGCGTCATACCACAGCTAGAAGCAGAGCTCAAAAAGGATCAAGTTCAACTACGCGTATTGGCAGTCCAAACACTGGGTCAAATGTTTTCTGAACAATCATTTAGCTCGATCCCCAGCGCTCAAACCCTCAAATCACTCGCCTCAACCACTCTAGGCCCTACCAATCAATCGACATTTTACATTAACCAACCTCTAGGTACGGATCTTGCCAGAAGGTACTCAAGTACTTGGAGGGAATGGACTCGCAGGGCAAAGGACCTTTCACCCCAGGTGCGGTTGGCTGTTGTCAGTTGTTTGAAGCAAATCATCTCCAAGCAACCACATCTCAACGACGACATCAGCGCGCTTTTCAAGACGTGTCTGACTGATGCCGACGAAAAAATCCGATGCGAGACATGTAAAGTGTTTTCTCAATTAGAATTTGAACTGGTACTACATCATCTAGATGTCGGCATTCTTAAAACTCTTAGCGGCAGAATTGAAGATCGCAAGGTTAGCACTCTCGTTGATGTTCACTGTCACGACAGAAACTGTTTAATCTGTTGTCCTTCTATCTTAATGTCTATATCAGCCCTCCGTTCAACGAGAAGCTCTCAATGCTCTAGGCAGACTGTACAAGTTGGCACAATCTGCAATGTAGGTTCTTTCATCAATCGTTAATGACTTCTCACATCGGTAAGATAGCAAACGTTAATCGGGGCAAACATCTGCTCAAACAGTGAAGCCGAAAATCCTCAAGCCATCACACAGTTTGCCTGGATTCCGCAAGAAATTTTATCTAGCATGTTTGTGGGTGATCCACGCTTATGGTATGGCTACCATTTAGCTGTGCTATCTCCCAGTTATTTGTTTGCTTACCCGATCTTCTTTCGCAGCGCCTCAGCAGAAAAAGTGTTCTTGGAATATGTCGCACCATTCCCTTCGACCACAGCTGAAAAGGACAGATGGGTTGACAGGCTGCTGAATATCACCAAATATCTTGACTCGACTAGCATGATGAAATTGCGAAAGTTTTCCCGGATCGGAGTCAAGTAGGTAGAATCCAAATCCGCAGACTGCTAGCTTTCAGTCTCATTGACGTTCTATCTTCTAGACGACCGACCGGGTTCGATAGATTTTTGGATGCATGTGAAGTGTACAATGTACGCGATATATCTTATTCTTGGCGAATGTAGATTTTTGAAGTTTTCTCGTCCTTCTTCATTTGCAGGGCGGCGTTATGAATCAGAACGAGACCCAAGTCAGAACACGCTTAGCTGACATCATGAGGGTGTTATCAAGTAAGCCCACCAAAGCGGATCAGGTCTTCGCACTTTTATCACTCTTCGCTGACTAGCGTGTTTCGCTGTATCTCTCCAATGTCTAAGATCACTTTCCTGATTCTGCCAAGGCTTTGGAAGAACTTCACAGTTTTGCAAAGTTGAATGATAGGCGATTGTACAAACTTTTCAAGACGATGTCAGATGAGAAAGCAGATCTTCCAACCTTGATCAAGACTCATGTAGGTATTTCAAAATGCCTTTTCGTTATCCACATGAGGCTTATTCTCAAACTTGCCGGACTTCATATAGCAAGAATTCCGACGGAAGCTCAAGCCATTATCACCATCCTTTGCCGAGACGCTCGAGATTTTCCTTCACAAGTCTGCCTACTTGGTCGCCAACTCCGCCAGTGTTCCAATTCTTCTCGAAAGAGTTAAACATATGGAAGCCGATGATCTAGCCATGGGGCCAGTAGATGTCCAACCAAACTTACCGCGCTCGACCTCCAATGCTGCCAAGACGTTGCTTGAAATGATTTCGACGGATCGTCCAGCGATGCTCATGATGCATGTAGACACTATTGTCGAATCTCTTTCAGATCTTTCCGAGTCAAACACAAATCAAGCTTTGGCAGATGCCTGTCTGTTAGTACTCAGTTCCATAGCCAAATCAGATCCAACTGTGATCCCAAGTCATAAGTCAGTAAATCAAATCGTACAATCCAAGCCTCCGTATGTGCTTCATGTTGCGCTGAAACTGCATCTTACTTTATTGCTTTCTTAGTGATATCATAGCTTCAATGAAACATTTTCCGAAGAATGGAACGCCTCTTCAGGCCAAGCAGGCGGCCATTGTGCTAGTTAAAGTGAAAGGTATGACGACTGCCTGCCGGGAAGTGCATGAAGTAAGATCAAAATTAAACTCGGGTCTGCCAGTAAAATGTTTACTTACTCAACCTATTGGAACTCACCCTTGGATTTTGGTGACAACGCTCAGGATTTGGTCGAGTGTTTACCCAAAGCCCCGCCTGATCGGCTTCTCAGTTATTTGAGCACATTGGGGCAGATCGTCAAATACGCCCCCAAGTTCTATGAACGACACGAGACTGCTTTAACTACCTTCCTACTCAACAAACAGATCCTCACCTCTACTAGAGGCGATCAGGAGGTAAGCTGGGTTGACACGATTTCACCTTTCCTTTTTTGATTTTGTTCAACTTCTCACGGTCACACTCATAGGACGATGACGATTGGATCCCGGACGATCAATTGTGCGACTCCAACAGAGCTCGAATTAGCGCCTTGAAGGTGCTCGTCAACAGATGTATCGCCTCTGCCAACTCCCCACAAGCCGACACAATTTCTGCCCCAATCTTCAAGCTTTTATGGCAGCTCATAGTCACTCGAGCAAAGATCGGCCCGGCCATTCACAGGTTAGAAAGATGGATATCCTTACTATCAATCCAACTTAACCTCAGCCTAATTGTTATCCACTTTCGGTCCACTAGTTATGCAGTTGCAGCCAGACTTAGATTGAAAGCCGCGGAATCGATTATTAAACTAGCGACTTACATCTCCTTCAACAAAGAAATACAGAAACATTTCGGGAAACTGGTATGGGTTTCACAGGTTAGAGAATCGAACTGGACCATTCAATACCAGTAGTATACGTGTAAATCAAGTCATCAAATTCAGCTGAGCTTTTGACCTCTGGCTGGATCTTCTCAGGATACTTCCGGATTTGTTCGAGACAGGTTTTACAGGAAACTGGCCCGATATTTGCAGAGCCGACGCTTAGATCACCCACGCTTCAATGTACTCATGTACTTAGCCGCGCCCGATCCACTCAAAGAAGTCAAGGACATCGCTCTCAAATCTATCACCTCAAGATTGAGTATTACCGGGCCACGTAAGTCTCAAGAACAAATTGATGTTCTGGAATGTCTGGCCGAGTTACTAAGCATTTGTGGATTTTGATACGTTTTTTGGCTCAAAGAAATGCGAACCCAAATGTTCGAGACGACGATCCTCTACCTGCTCCATGCTCTGGCCCATCATGACGACTTTGGGACAGAGACGAGGGACTTGGAGAACTTCACTATCTACATTGACTTTTTCGTGGAATCCGTGGGCAATAGCGAGAATGCGTCACTATTGTACCATCTTGCGGGCCAGCTCAAGACCGTGAAGGATCGTCAAGATAACAAATATCCTGAGGTAACCAATCGCTATGTCCTTTGAGTTCTGAGAGGAAGCCGTACTGATGAGTCTGTTGTTTACCAGGCATTATACATGCTTTCTGATTTGGCCCAGTTGGTGATTAGGGCCAAAGCTCGAGACCATCATTGGGTCTTGCCCACTTACCCAGGTCATGTGAAACTTCCCGATGACCTTTTCAAAGGACTTTCCTCTGAGGAGGCCTTAGAAGCGAGTGATTTAGTCACGCATCATCCCAACATCTTGCATCCAGCTGACGCCAGTGATCGTTATTCAGGTGTCTAAAAAGGATTACTTACCCGAGGAGTTTGTCAAGAAGTTCTCGCTGACGAAGATCCATGCGATCCAGAAAGAGCGCGAGGCTATGATTAATGGGGAGCCCGTCGGTCCGGGTTCTCGGAAGACGAAGCGTGGACCCAAGCCGACCAAGAAGCAAGCGCCTGAGAAGAAGAGACGCAAGCTGGCGACGCCCCAAGAAGATGATGAGGCAGACCAAGATGACGAGAGCGAGCCTGAAATCATGTGAGTCGTGACAGTCTTGCTTGATCACCTTGGCCTTGATGCTAGTCGAATGAGACTGACTACTTCCATGTTCGATAGAGTTGCTCCAAAGGAAGATCGGTCTAAGCGACTGGCCGCTAGACGCCGGCCTCCTGCTCGAGCTGGCCATAAAAGCCAAAGTGAAGTCAATACCACTGATAGTGAACAGTGATTTGTTGGCAGCCTCAAAATGGTTGCAGTCTTTCCCAAAATCAGGGAATTTTGCTTGTATTTTTTTGGATATATCTAATTCTATTCTCTCCTTACATCGCTGTGCTTTTAAAAGAGTTTTCTTAATCTTTGTTTGCGTTTTTTAATGTGTGTGTCTGATGTATCTTTCTTACATGTGTGGAAATTTACGTTGTCCACACCCAACTAAACGTTGAACATCTGTATCTTGATGCGCTTTAATGTATTGCCATAAGGACGCTTCTTGTCTATTTGGACTAGGTTCCCAATCTGACCCTGCCAACTCTTCCAAGGGGTTTTGTTTGTTTCCCATGACACCGAGCAGGCCATCTCCTTGAGTCTCACCAGGTGTTACTGGGCACCGGTGACGTGAAACATGCCTAGTGGTTTGATAATACATAATAATGATACATGCTATGTGCAAGTAATGATTGTTTTCTGGTGGTAGACCGAGTTGTAAAAATGTGTTAGATTCGAGATGCAAATGGGGAACTAGTTGGTACAGTCCCATGAAAATTAGCTTAAGGTACCTGCAAATCCCAGTCTCCAATCTTGGTGAGGAAAGAGAGCAGCCAGAATTGGAGTGAAGTCTCAAGATTTGTGAATAATAAAAAATAAAGGGGCTTGGAAAAACGACTCCCAAATTTTAGTCGACGACTCCCGTTTTGGTCGGGAGGTCGTTGGCGGGAGTCATTCTTCCAATTCCCAAAAAAACAGAGGGAGTCGTCGCACTAATTTTACTAGGAGAATTTTTATTTTTTTATTAAAAAATTTCGGAGTCGTCCGCCTAAAGGGCGGGGGTCGGCGCACCAATTCCACCAAATATTTTGCCTTTTTTTATATTAAAATTGACGGGGGTCATCCACCTAAACGTAGGGAGTCGTTGCACCAATTCCGCCCAATATTTTGCCTTTTTTTTATATTTAAATTGACGGGAGTCGTCCACCTAAACGGAGGGAGTTGTCACACCAATTCCACCAAATATTTTGCCTTTTTTTTCTATATTAAAAAATACGGGAGTCGTCGCCATATGGGGACCTTAGAGACTCCAAAAAAAGGTTGAGGCACTGAGGCCCCACCCCAAAGGCAATTTATCAAGGATAAAAAAATTAGATTAATTGAGGAAAACCATTGCGAGAGATAAAAGAGATGACAAACGGGCCAAAAATATTCAAAAATGATCAGAAATGTAAGAAAAAAAAAAACAGGGTAAAAAAGGACATAGAGAAAATAAATCAAAAACTAAAAAAGACACAGGATAAAAAAAACCCTAGTAGTGTTTCATTGGATTTTCAATTTTCCTCTCTGCAGTCAATTAGAAACAATCAGAAAATTGGGCTTCCCATCCCCAAGCCTCTTCTGACGCCTTTTCTTTCCAATCCTTCATGAGCTGAGGGGCTGGAAAGAGTCTTGGGTTATGTAACTTCAAGGGGACAAAATGAGAAAATTCATGTAGAAAAGCAAATAAAAATAGGGGTTTTGTCATCGGGGGGGGGGGCAGAAAGAAGGAAGAAAAGTCTGGCAAAGGATTTCAGAAAAAAAGCAAACAGGCCTCTCAAAGGCATTTGTCATTACCTCACCCGTTGAAGGCATGGACATCCAATGAATCTTTGAACAAGGCACTGGTGAATCGACCTTGATACAATCCAAAGCCCCGTGGATTTTTTGGAACAATTTTTGATACCAATCAGGCTGGCAAACAATTTCATTGTACAATTCATATTGAACCACCATATAATTGCCCTGCCCACATTGTAGGACTCCTGGGACGGATAGATACGGTAAAGTATATGTATATCAAAAGATCCCTTGAGGGGGAAATAAATTGCAAATAGGTTGAAAGGCTATTAAAACTTACGGGTGGTTTGAAAGACCTGCCCCTCTAATTGTACTAAACAAATAACTAAGAGTCTTGTAATCAATATTTAATAATATGCGGATGATTCCAAGATAGATCTTACTTTTGTAAAGTAATCTCTATCAGACCTAGATCACATATCAATCTACTAATGAATCTGTTAAAACTTCAGGTTAATAATAGAAACTGTGGCACTTATGGCTGAGCGCAAGACAGTTGAGTTGTTATTTAGAGTTTGTTTATTATCTCTTCCTCGAAAAATTTCTTGCTAAGGCACTTTAATCAAAACTAGAGCTCCGGTGTTAATACTACTACTGCTTAATTGTTTAATAATACTACTTATTTTAAATTGTTATGGTTAAATGGTTCTGGTTCTACTACTTATAAAGCTCTGACTTTACTTGACTAATTCTCTGACAATCACACTACACACTAACTAATTGTGACCAACATACCTCAGCAGGTTGATGGGGGAAAAGAGAATCCTGGTGGAGAGAGGCCCTCCTTTTATATTGAAGAGTGAGGGATTTCTGCTGCAGGGGACTCCTTGTGAGTTATTTTTGCTGCAGGCGACACACACTTGCACAGCATGATGTCATTGGTTGCTATGAAACCAAGCCATGTAGCATGTGCTGAAACCTTCCAAAGCAGTAATCCAGTACAGTATACAGTCTTATGAGATCTGTGACTTGGAAACCAAATCCACATTCCAAATTATCTGTGTTTAATCTCAACAGATGAAGCAACAGATGAAACATCAGATGAAACACTTTCTTACTTCCTTCCTTGTTCATTCTTCAGGGTCCATGCCTCTCCACCTACCTTCCTTCTCCCCTCCTCATCAACTGTGTTATGTTCTTTTCCACTGATTACAAAATACATAAACCCATATTACATAATCTACCCATGCACACACCACACCTAAATATGTAAACCGTATCCTCATGTTGTATGTCCTACATAATGAATGTTCCTCCTCTTGTAATGAATGATAAGTGTGTGTCACTATCTCCTATTCTGTATGCTTTTGGCATTGGAACAGGCACAGCACACCACAACTTCCCATTGCTTAAGCCACAGCCTGGAATCTGCAGTGACCATCTGATCAAACATCCACAATATCCTGGACATCAGGTTGAAATTTTTTTGGTAAGTACTGAACATAATTGAGATCAGATGGGGATTGGGAGATGGGGGTTAGATGGACGTGGGGGAGGGTTTAGAAGCACCAATGGCGCCGGTTCGGTGGGAGTGATGGGGGACAAGGTCACGGAGGCATTGGCAGAGGAATTGACTTTGAGCTTTTTCTTGTTGGCTTGAACGGGGGAGGAGGGAGGGGAGGATTCAGGGGCAGTTGCTTTCACTTTCTTCCTGGGGACGAAGACAACTGGTTTGGTGGCTCCTTTCCTGACTGGTTGAATCCTCTTCTTTGGGGCCTCTTCTTCCTTCTTCTTCTTTGGGGCCTCTTCTTCCTTCTTCTTTTTGCCATCGTCCTTCTTCTTTTTTTCCTGCTATTTCTTCTTCTGATTAGCTTCTTTGGTCTTCTGTTTCTTGTTCTTCTTGGCGGCTTTTTCTTCAAGTTTCCTCTTTTTTGCAATGTGTTCAAATTCTGAAGGGTCCTGCGTTGTTGATTTGGGTTTGTTCAGAGATCCTTTGGGTCTACCTTGAGTTGATTGCACCTGCTTTGGTAACTGAAGGTTGACAACGGTGGCAGAGCCATCCAAAAGTCAAGAGATGGTGTCAAGCTGTATGGTTAACGTGCTCAGGTTCGTTTGGAGGAGCCTTTGCTTGATGGATTCAATCTGGTCTAGGGCTTGTGGGTTGTTTTGTCCCAGATTGTTTTTTGGTTGGATATCCTGTTGTTGATCAAAAGGAAGCAAAATGTTATTGAAGACTCTGAGAGCAGAAAAATTAAGAAAAATTAATAAACATACGTGGATATGCCATTGTTGATGAAAGTCTTCTGGTTCCAACTGTCTGCCTGACCAAGCCAACTCTTCTAGGCAATGTTTACACGGAATACCTGTCCGGAGTCAATGAAAGCCGTTACAATGATCATTCTTCCCGAGGGTTGCAGATATGCGCAGGTTGTTTTGTGCCTTCCTCAGAGAGAAATGGGTGATCCGGCCGAGGCAATTGTCAAACAGGGCACCAAGATTCATGAGAGCGTCCATTTTTTCCTGGCGGTGGAGGGAGCTTATGTTGTGTTCTTGGGTTTCAATGGCGTTGGTGATCATTTTGATGGTGGAGTTGAGGGATTGATTGGGACCAAGGAGATGTGATTTTACAAATGAGTGTGAAGATTCAATCCGAGATGTCGTCTGGTGATCAAAATGGGTCACTTCCCTTGTACAGGCATTCGCGTATTTCTCTGCAACTGGGAGCCAGTTTGAGCGCATGTACTTGCCAAATGTCTAGCCATAACTTCCAGCAAATCAGTCAAAGGCGGCCCTAAAGTCACCGGTGGATGTGATGCAAATTGGTCAAAGGAAGCCCTGAAGTCGCCAGTGGTTGTGATATTGATGAGATTTTTCCAGTGTTGTATCATTTCAGCCTCTTTCTTCTTGTCCTTGATCATTTTTGCGCCGTTAGAAATCAAGTTTTTGTTGATATGCCAGGTACACAGTAGATGAGTCGCTGTGGGGAAAATGGAGTCAAGACCATTCATAAGAGCTTGTTCCCGGTTGGTCAAGATTACCTCAGGGATAGGAATATTGTTGCTGGTGAACACGTTGAGTAGAGATTGAAGAGCCCATTCGTAGTATTCTTTGGTTTATTTCTGAAGGAAAGCAAAGGCAACACTGAAGGACTTGTTAGATCCAGTGACGCCGGCAATGTGGAGGAGAGGCATGAAATACTTATGCGTCTTGTAGGTGCAATCAAGGAACAAGATGTAGTGGAAATGACAGAGGAGGTGAATCGAGTGGTTGTGACAGAAGAAAAGACCTAGAATCTTGCCAGAATTGTTTACCATGGTTGCTGAGGTGAAGTCCGTCGTGAGGGTTTGATTAAGATGAACAATAGGGCTGAGTCCACGTGCCTCTTCTGCCCGAGCCTTTTTTATGGCAGAGTACACAGTTGAAATGGTGGCCAAGTGGCAAGATTGACTGATCGGGATGTGTCTTCTTGAGTGATTGGAGAATCTGAGCTGGTTTTAAACCCGTGTCACCTAGTTTCTTCATTTGCTCATAGAGCTCCTTTGTGAGTTTTTGGTCGGCGGTGTACCCGGAGGGATCTTTGCTGGGTGCATGATTATGTTGGGTATCTGCCACGGTAAACTTCCATTCCCCCCAGCCTTCATCTGGATCTGGGCCCTTGCGTCGAATGGGCAATCGATCAGTTGACTGACAATGGGTCCGGGGCGTGTGTCATTTTTCCGTTTGTTCCAAGCTGGGTTACCACCCCTACACATAAGATGGAGAAAAAGGACAGCCATTGAGCATGAGCTCTGAATTGAGTGCTATGCAGAAGGAGGACTTACCTGTCACATTTGAAAGTGATACTCTTCCCGGAAACAGTCCTCTTCCTGACAATGCATTTTCCCGAGCGAAGGTTTTGATGGAGTGCTTGAGGATCAATGGGTCGGAATAAGTGGCCGCTGGAGGAGCGGGAATGTCTGTGTGTGGTGCTCGCACTGGTGTTGGGGGGAGGGTTGGGGTCTTCTTTGTTGTAGTTGTCTTCTCTTCTGGATCTGACTTGGGCTCGTCCTCCTCAGCGTTGTCGCCAGTGTTCTTATTGGCTTGGCTTGCGAGTAGCTCTAAGCATTTTTCAATGGTGACCGTTTCCTCATCTTCAGCAGTTTCTGCGTGATTGTCATCAGATTCTTGTTCATCTTCAGTGTCTTCAAGCTGGCGATTTTCTTTCTTTTTTTGGGTGTTTGTTTGATTTTCTGTGTTTTTGGTGATGGGGCTGACTGTTGCCGTTGCCTTGGGTTTGACAGGGGGGGTGGTTGTTCTTCAGGGGGTCCGGTGATGGGGCGGATTGTTTCCTTGGGTTTGACGCCGGTGGTGGCAATGGTGGCTGGGATTCCGGAGAAAAATTGGTTTTCGGAATTGGCACCTGGGATGACGGCTCCTACGGGGGCCAAGAGGCTTGGATCAAGCTCTGCCAGGTTAGGGGGGTTGACAACTGCGGTCCGGGATGTGACGACTCCCGTAGTTTGCGCGACGACTGCCATCATTTGAGCAACAACTCCAGGGGCCAAGGTAAGTCCGGAGGTGGGGGCGGCTGCCGGCGGCAATGACTCCCTTCTGCGGGTTAGCAACTCCAGCCCCTGGGGAGACAACGGCCGTCCCCGGTGCGATAACCCCCGTCTCTCGTGCAGCGACTGCCTCTCCGGCGTGGACGACTCCCATTGCTCCAGCGACGACTTCCGCGACGACTGCCGTGCTCCTGCGGGGATTCCGACTCCGATGACAACCAGCTGTTCTGGCTGGTGCCCGTCGGCGGTTACCTTTGGCGGCTCTGCCCGTTGGGCAGTGACATTGGCGGTTCTGGCCCCATTGGCGGTGACCTTTGACAACTCGGCGCAGCCTTGGCCGCAGGGACCTCGGCGGCAGCAACCTTGGCGGCGTCATTTGAGGGCTGGAACCTGTAGGCGGCGTCCTTTGGTGGCGCGAGCGCTTTGGTGGGGTGAGCCGGGGTGGTGGGGTTGGTTGGGTGGGTGGGTAGGGAGTTGGTGGGGGGAGTGGATATGGGAGGAGGGGAGGATATGGGTGTGGAGCGGAGACTCCTGTGTGGGAGAAGAAACAAGGTTTCTTCTCCCCAGCTGACTCCTAGGGATTTGTCAACAACTCCTGCGAGACAAAAAAAGCCCAGTCGTCAGTTTGGACAATTGGGCCATCGACTCCCTTTCCTTCTGGGGAAATTAGCCTGACAACTCCCAGGTAAAAAAAAAGGAAAAATAAGAAGATTATTGGGGTCGACAACTCACAACTCCCAAGTATTGGGTTGACGACCCCCAAAAAAGTAAAAAAAAAATCGAATTTCAAAATGGGTGGACAACTCCCATCCAGAAAGATCATATTGGTGCAACGACTCCCCGGACGAAATTTCTGGTCCGGAGTTGGTCCAGTGATGGTTGGGTGATGGTCCTCCCAACGTCAAAGGGCAAATGGGAGTCGTCAACCAAAATTTGGGAGTCATTTTTCCAAGCCCCTTGAAAAAAATCGAGTTTATTTTTTAGGGTCTTAGTTAAACAACTCCCAAATATTGGAGTTCCGACTCCCAAATATTTGGGACGTCACTAATGTTGGAATATGCTTATAGCCTGACTAGTATGCTTCTAACCAAACCAAGATTGTATTTAGTCTACGCCAGATCTGTTTCATCAGAGCTCCCTCACTGAATCTAAAAACCATTTTTATCTTGGTGTTCAGTCATCTGTCACAAGACTCACGTCTGTGACTCTCAGCTCTCAGCTTGGTCCACCTCAACAACTAAGACCCCCTGTGGACGGTCCGCAGGCCGTCCAACCACGGAGATGGGAGTCGGACCTCCCAAACCTTCAACAGGTTTGGGAGTCAATCATCCCAAAAAAAATAAAAAAACCCGGTTTTTTTGGGAGTCAATCTGCAAAATCCCCCAGGGAAGTTGCGAGTCAGCGGCGGAGAGGGCTGTTGAGAGTGTATACTCTCTCCGGCCAAGAGGAATCACTCTTGGTTGATGAGAGT